CGTAAAAAGACAGTATAAGTCATTATAATCCGTAATTATGTCCCCACTGGATGCAACAAATGCCTCGTTTGTAATGGGTTTTAATGTTTTTGTCTCGTCGCTCCGGCCGGACAGGGCATCACAGTATGGTAAGGGGCGTAACATTTCCGTCTCGCGCTTGAGGTATTCGGCCAATCACAACGCACTGGATAGCTGGCCAATCACAGCACACCTCACTTTTTCAGACCGATGAGCTTTGTAAAAATCGACACGTTTCAGAAAGGAGCGGCATAGAGGAGAAACAATAATGTACAGTATGTGGAAAAATTAGTTTTTTTAACCTTAAACCGCATAAACACATTTCATTACACCAAATACACAAAATAATGTTCTTTTTAGCAGCATCATATGACCCCTTTAAAAATGTTGTACATTATGAACCTTAACAAATAAAACCTTTTAATAAAAGAATCTTTTGAGATCGTTTTGACAGACATGTTTATTGTGTATTATTTTCAACGTGTTTATTGCTAAGTTTAGTGTGGCAAAATAGAAGCGCAGCCGTAATTCGTATCTAGTTGCCATGACAACCTCATGCGCTTCCTGCTGCTGCTCTATGTAATCAGAGTGTGAATTTGTAGATTTTCTATAGCAAAAATAAAATGTGTTTAAAAGTGTGACTGACCAAATCGCCCGGCTCGGTTTGTCCCCCCTCGAACTCGAAGACATCTCTAATTTGACAGTTTACCATCTGATCTCACTCGTGACTCTAGGCTACGTAGGACTGGACGAAACCATGCAGTGAATGGGGAGAGATCATTTAGCTGTAAATGCAGAAATAAGCCGTAATTTTGTTTTATTTGTAACACTTTGGTAGATACATTTATCATTTCTATTACATTGCTACTACTACTGTTACTACTAATAAAACTGCGTGGGCCCTTAGAATCGTCCTAACTTTCCCCCCCTTAGCGGCGCCCCTGTTCTGAACTCACTTGTTTTTTACCCATGAGCACTTGCTCTTAGCTGCTGTAGTGTGAGAACTTTGATCGAGCACTTGGGGATGTTGCTGGCCCTGTGCTGGAGTGCTTTCTATTTTGGTGTTATCCTGATGGTTTATGCTAGCATGTGTAGACCCCGCTCCATCAGTGAAGAGCTAGCCTGGTTTCCACGGAGACACGGGAGAATTTCTGTGTGTTTGTGTTTCCTGGAGTTTTGCGCCATCATGCAACGGGATGGAATTATTCAGACACGTTTTATGACTCGCCACACAAAAGGTCAGTGTACAATACAAGACATAGGGACTGTGAGAATGGTAAATAGGTAGGGGACTTTGCATTGTCTTGTTTTCTATTAAAATATGTAAACATCCATAAAATGTGATTAATTTACTTGAAAATTATTATTTCTTAATATATTAAGGTTTGTTTGAAAACAATATGTTGCATATCTGTGTGTTTTAGGGAATTTTTTTTTTTTTTTTTTTTTTATTGTTGCTTTTCATGTAAATGTGTAAATAATTTTATGGATGCATTGATATTATTACTGGAAAACAGTACAAAACTTTCTGTTTGCAGTGTTCAGTTATTTAATACAGGCTGGCTAGGAGTGAGAGAAATGAGAAACATGAGACACATGCACACATGCAAATCAAATACTTGTTATCCTGTTTTGTTTCTGCTTTGCTCAGACGTCTCCTGTCAGCTTCTCTGCCCTTTATGTGCCAAACAAGAGCTCTGCGTCCCAGTCCTGATGCTTCGCTGCTGTTTGCGGTTGAGTTAGCAGCCCTGTCTTGAGCCTTTACTACCGTCTCTCAGCTCGGCTACGCACTGACCCAGATCTGCTCCGATGCATTAGTCAAGACAGACAGAGAGATCCCACTAAGAGAGAATGAAGACGGGATAGGAGAGAATCTAAAACGGCTCCAGGCAATATTATGTATAGAGGACTCGTATTTTAGCCAGAAGCAATGGTTTAAAGTTAAAAACGCCTTAATAATGGATTTGCTTAGTACAAACACACAGCTCTTCACTTCTCAAGATGTTAACTGATGGACTGGAGTGGTGTGAATTACTTGTGGATTATTGTGATGTTTTTATCAGCTGTTTGGACTCTCATTCTGACGGCACCCATTCACTGCAGAGGATCCACTGGTGAGCAAGTGATGCGATGCTACATTTCTCCAAATCTGTTCCCATCTTGGATGGACTGGGCATGAACACAGTTTCAGCAAATGTTCAATTTTAGGTGAACAGTTCCTTTAAATTATGTGACTGGAACTGCAATTCCACATTGACCTTGAGCTGGTGATATTACCAGTTTTTGTTGGTGGTTCACATTACTTCTGGTCAGTTCTTTTTGCCAAATCAACCTGTGCAACGATGCTTTGGCATCACAAGGTGAATATTCACACTCACTATAAGGGGGTCTTTTTGGAAAATCCTGCATGAATAGGCTTTTAACTTCAGAATAATCATGAACCTAATCTCAGTGGAGCGAGTTCTTTGTGTTTCCTGCAAATCTAATGCCACCGGATCAGTATGTGTCACGACATTTAGTGCAAGTTTATCTTCAGCATATACATTTTTGGGGTGTTTGTTTTTAGTTGAATCCTTTTGCTAGCGAGTATCCTATTCATTAGTAAACTCTACCACGTGTGCTAACAGACCTCTCTCGTATCATATGAAAAATGTGTCTTTTGGATTTCATTGTGTATATATTTCCGTTCATGCAGGCGTTTATTGGAAGCAGCTGTAACCGCGGGTTGATATATCTGCGACCACACATGCACAGCCTCTCATGTGGCGGCTCAGAGTGAAGTCCGTCATCTTGCATTTGTTGAAGCTGTCCTGAACATGCGCCTGAACATGTGTGGTCTCCAACCACAGCGGCGAATCTCTTCAATTGCTCTTTCAGTTCTAATTCTGTCGTATTTCTCGGTGGTTAGTCTAATTTTATCCCACAACAGCTCGTCCCCTCTCGTACTGCCTCAGAAAACTGCTGTGTTTAGATTCTTTTGAATAGTAATTTATAACTCTTGTCTTCTCTTTTTTTCAGATTTTGGAAGTCATGGTAGTAGGAGCTGATCTGTATGCAGAGTGAAATCTATCATGACTGGGATGTCATTGGCACACCGCAGGTCATTTCAGAAACAGTCGTGCTGTACCTGTCAGACTCAACTCTGGGTGTTATGCAAATGCATGTGTGACACTCATTCAGAGTGAATATGATCTCACTAAGAATGAATTTAAACATATATCAGAATTTATTTTATTTTTGAAAATGTGTTGTATTATACTGATGCTTACTTACGGAATAATTATAAGAGTACACTTAAATAAATATTTATATAAACATCAAATATTTTGCACAAATTATTTTAAATATTATTATTACTGAATATATATATATATATGTCATTTATTTGAAAAATATATTTAAAAATTATATGTATAGGATACATAAAAATATATGAAAATGCATTAAATTATTTAATTATTGAAATTAAATATATATATATATAATATATTAAATAATATGATACAATTTCAATAATAATTTCAATAATTAATACATTTAAACAGTTAATGCATAAATGTTTTTCTTTTTTATATTGACTTTTCAGAAGCATAAATGCAGTCAACAACTGACCTTAATAATAGATTTGTGTTAACATATTTAAGTGTCAACTTATTTCATTCAAATTTTCATTTATTCTTAAGTATTGCTTTATAAAATAATACTTACAAACCTTATAATATTTATCTTTAACTGCACGTTGTCATAAAATGCACTAAAATGAACCAGTGTATGTAAGGCTCATTCGTTCTTTAATCAGACTCTACTGTACAATATATATTTAACTGTCATTTAGTATTTTAGAATTTTGGTCTTGGATTAATCTTAAATGTCTATAGTTTTTGTTAATTGTATGACTTAAGTTATTCACGTGCCTTGCTAGTGACATGGTGTTAAAAAATAATAAATAAATACATAAATGATAACGCAGTGGAAAACACTTTATGGATCAGTTATATTTAGTTGCATGATCTCTGTGTTTTTTCTGTCTGCTTCAGATACTGAGCCATGGGTAACACAGAAAGTCATAGCAGCGGCCATGGTTATTATGGAGACGGCCGGCGCCAGCTCTCCCGTAAGCACATGTCCCGCTCGCTCCGCCTGTCCAGCAAGCAGACGTACTGTTCCCGCCGTACGCCGTCTGGAAAACCGGAGCATCGCAACTCCGAGACCAGCACGCGCTCCAGCAGCACTCCCAGCATCCCGCAGTCACTGGCCGACCACGGCCTGGAGCCCTTCAACGACTCGGACATGCTGCCCAACTTCAGCAGCCCCATATGGGTGGACCGCGTGGCCATGAATCTCAGACCCATGTCCTTCCACAACCATCCGGCCCATTCGCCCGCCGCGACCCACACCACCAAACAGGCTATGCAGGACGACGGCGAACCAGCAGAGGACACGACCCACGTCCAGCGCACACAGGACAGCTCCCAAGAGGCATCCAGCTTTAAAAAGAAACGCTCTAAGTCTGCGGACATGTGGAGGGAGGACTCGCTGGAGGTGTCCTTATCCGACCTGAGCCAGGATCACCTGACCAGCACGGAGGAGCTCGGAGACACGCCGGACACCTGCGAAGCCAGTTTGCAGTCGTCCGCTCAGGAGCTGCTGGACTCAAACCGTGCCAATTCTTTAGACGAGCTCTACGGACCGAAGAGCCCCGCCTGCAGGCCCACGCACGGACGCTATGCCAAATGGCACAAGGGCGGCGCCACAAGCAGAGATGGTGATGAGGATAAAATGATCTCGCCCTGTGAGGACGACGGAGCCGCCTATGGCGCGTATACACTGCCCTGCCGCCGGTCTCACTGTCTGTCAGAGGGACTGACCAATCATCAAGGAGTTATGCAAGGGAGGCGGGCACAAACCATACAGGTGAGTTTTGATTGGGTAGCCCCGCCCACAGTGAAATCTTATTGGTCACTACTCCAGTATTAAACACCAAATACATTGTTATATTTTGCAACATTTATAAATACCATTATATTTTTTTATTTATTTAGGTTTTTTATATTTAATCTAAAAAGTATTAAATAGAAATGCTATTATGTTTTTATAATTACTTAGTTTTTTTATATTTTATGTATAAAATATAAATATCATCATAAATATATATATATTTTTAAATATTCTATTTATAAAAAATATATATAATATAAATACCATTATATTTTTATAATTGTTTGCTTTTTTTATTTTTTATTAATTAAAAATATCAGTAATGTGTGACGAATAGAGTAGCACCAAACACAGTCCATGTAAAAATGTAGACAAAGTGTCCGGGTGTGTAGATCCAATCCAAATGCAAAACAAGGAAAAAGGATCTGCATACAAAAATTTAGGCAAAAGCTTGTGTGAATTTTTTCCATAGAGACCACAAAGAAAGAGCCAAGTGCAAAATGTTTTCAGTTTCAACCCTTCATCTGTGCCATACCTATAACAATCTAAACTATAATTACCATTATGTTTCAGAATTATTTCTTTCAGTGTTTTATCTATAAAAATATAAAATATAAATGACATCATATCACAGTCCATCATATATATATATATATATATGTATATATATATATATATATATATATATACATATATCCTCCTGAGAACCATAAAAAAGGTTTTGTGAATTTTGCTGTTTTTTATGACATTACATTGGTTGGAGCATAAGAAACAAATTGAGAAAAACATTTTGAAAAACAAAAAAAACATTTTATTCATATTTTATTCTATGTCCTTTGTAGAGGACGCCAGGACTGTTATTCAAAAAAATAAATAGACATGAAAAGGCATGTGTAGACAAAAACAATGATTTATTTTTTTTATTCTCCAATCAGTTGTTAGGTTTCAGGCTGTTTTTAACCAAACTTTGTACAGTTATGAAAGATATAACTGAATGATTTGATATACTATTTTACTTTATGCAATATGTGCGTAAAATGTCCATAAATTGGTATTCCCATTCTATAAAATGTATCCATGCATTGCATCTGATTTGGATATTAATGTGTTCTTGGGGCAAACCATATTGAAAAAAGAAGTGTTATAATGGGAGTAATAACTTGGAAACATTTTCATAAAAATTTTCCTGAGATGTTTATTTACGACAATTTGAAAATGAGTCCGATTTAAAAGATAATTACAAAATATTATCATATTTCCCTAAGAGTGCTAAATGTAATCGTTCTGTCAATGATCAAGTTGGTAGTGAACTGTACAGCTTTGAAGCGACTCGTGTTGTTTCAGATCAGCCGCTCTCATTGAAAGTGAATGGCTTTGTTTGAATGATTGGAGTGAACGCCTGTAGGTGTGCAGTAATAATGTGAGTGTAATGTTAGTGTAGGTGTACACCAGGGAATTTCAGTCTTGCAGTGAATGTTGACTGCGGTTAATCCCCCAGAATCCTCTGATTCTCCTCGTGTAGAGAGACTGAACGTATGAATGACTCATTTGTGTGCAAGTTGACACAGACTCCAGTTTCCCATTGGACAGCATTATAACTTCACTAGAAGCTCATCCCAGTCAACTGTTGGTGTAAACTAACAACAATATAACGTTAATTATATTTTATCTTTTTATAGGTAAAATATAAAAATGCCAACACAAAAAAAAGAATAGTATTTATATTTACTATTTTTTATAGATTATATAAAAAATACCAAATATTTATAAAAATGTAATGTTATTTATATTTTTGTATATGTATATATATGTGTGTGTGTGTGTGTATTTATTAATTCAGATTTTAGAGATAAAATTATAAAAGTAGTAAATATTTTGCCAAAACTATTATAAATAATATAATAGCATTTATATTTTATATTTTTTTATTGATAAAATATATATAAAAATCAAATAATTATAAAAATATAATGACATTTATATATGATTTTTTAATAGATAAAATATATAACAAAACGTTAAAAATGGTATTTATATGGCATATATATTTTTTATAATATACTGTATATATATATATATATATATATATATATATATAATTGTATTTATAATTTTTTTTTTAATAGTTTTTTATACCATTATACTACCATGGTAAGTTGGACATGCACCAAGGTAGTATATTTTAAGGACATTTTTAAGTACTTTGTTAATACCATGCTACGTTAAAGTACCATAGCATTGACATCACTATACCATAGTACCACCACAGTAACTCTCATTCTCTACGATGTGCGTTGACAGTCCTAGTGCATTGTGGCTCTGTCACACTGTCCATGTGGTGGTGGCTGTTTTTTCCTGCTCTCTCTCGGATGATCCAGATCCTGGAGTCAGACTTCTGTGAGAACAGCTCGCTTCTTTTGTCATGTTAATGAGCTGTAACTGACAGGAACGTGATTGAGAGAGAGTGAACGAGGAGGAGAGTTGAGCTCTAGATATGCTGGTTTATTTTTCACTATATTTCTTGCTTAAATATGTGTGTGCAAGAAAGTGTTTCAGTTGTATGTAGGTATTTGCTACAGCTAGAAAGAAAAAGATGAAATCACCGTGTGACACTGCCTCCCTGTGAGGCTCCATCGGTGAAGATGAATGGCATGCCGGGCCGCACAGTCCAGTCATGTGACTCCCGCTAGATGCCGGGTTTGGTGGGTAATATCCCATCATTCCCCAGCAGCAGTACAGAGTGGTATTGTACAGTCAACTTTACTGCGCTATAACTCGACACACAGAGTTCAGACAGCGCTGTGGTCTCTCAGGCAGACCTGTGTCAAATTCTGTAAAATGTTCACTTTACAACCTGCAGCTCGTCATCTGCTTCTGAAGACACCACGCGCTCCGGCCAACAGGTAGGAGGACTGAAGATGTGTTGGAGAAGAGCCACGCTTATTAGAGTGGAAAACTTTTATCTTTTGAGTCTGTCGAAATCATAAGGCTCACGTTTAGTTGCTGAGAAAGAACATCCAGGAACTATGATTGGTTTTGTTGCTTAGTTTTACGTAAATTAAGTGATGTTAAAACCAAAAACCAATGTCCTAGGCTAATTAATTAGAAAAAAATATTTTTTTTGAGTAAATTTAGAGACACGTCATGTCTTCATTTTTGGTTCTGGCTCTTTCACTGATTTTACTCCAAAATTACTTCACATATTGCGTCTGGGCCTATATTTGATCATTTTATGTACATTTACTTGCTGTCATTTAATACTTTTATAGTGTTTCCACGGCCCTGAAAAACCTGGAAACTTAAGGAAATTTCAAAAGTGGGATATTATATATATATATATGAATATATTTTCATATTAATTCATTTTTAATATATATAATTTTTATTAAATTTATATAGTTAATACATATATAAAAAATGTATTTTTATGCTCAGTTGTTCAGTTCAAAACTGTTTCTTTGGCTAGAAATTACTCTAATTTTCTCTTAAGTTAAATTTAAATGTATACATATAAAATTGTGTAAATTAAATCATTATCCCATCATCACAAATAATCATCGTAAATTAGCCAATATAAATTATTCATGTATTTATTTGGTTTTAAGGATGTCACGGTGGGAGATGGCAGTGATTATGAGGACAGTGGTATCGATGGGCTGACTGGGGACAGCGAGGCGTCTCAGCACCACGCTCGACGCTATAAGACCATGTCTGCGTCTTTCTCCGCTTACTCCACGTCAGCAGGAGGCGCCTTCGCCGGGAGCGACAGTGGGAGCAGCAGCGGGGCTGGAGCGGGACCCTCAGATGGCACACAGGTGGGCAGTGTGATTTATTTATTACTGCTGTTTCCCCGGTTCCTGTTTCATAATATGTTCCATCCAGACATCAGTAGAAACACATTAACATCAGATAGATGCAACATCAGTGCATGAATGTGACAACATCAACGGGTAAACGTTCCATCAAATGAGTAATGTTCATTAAAATAAAATATATGCAAATAAAAATTTTTATATATATATATATATAAAATAAAGTCAAATATTTTCATGTTTTTTAATTAGTTTTTAATAAAATAAAAACACCAAGATTTTTCAGAGGCACCAAACGCTTTTACATTTTAATGAAATATTGTGACATGATGTTCACTATAGCCAACGTTCCATCAGATAATGAATGTTCATTTAAATAAAATATATGCTAATAAAAAAAATGTAATCACTGCATTATTTATTTAGAATTCCCCATATTTATTTTTACCATATCCATTCCCCAAAAAATTGTGCAGAAAATGATTTTAAAAATATGTCTGGCCTCTGACACATCTTGGCGTTATTTATGTATGTATTTATTATTTATTTATAACTTTTTTTTGTTTATTTTGTTATATCCATTCCCCAAAAAATAGTGCAGAAAATGCTAATAGAAAAAGTCTGGCCTGTTCGGTGCCTGTTAAACATCTTGCAGTTCTATCTATCTATCTATCTAGAAATAAATAATAATAATAATTTTTATTTATATAGTGCCTTTCCAACACCCAAGGTCGTTTTACAGAGACAGGTTTAAGGAACAGAACCAAATAAACATCAACATCACAGCACAATATACATACCAAGGTCTATAAGTAATATACAGAGGTCGCTTACAAAGTTATGTTAGAGATACAAACAAAGAGGGATTCAAATAAATAACATATCTAAATAAATAAAACACCAGAGGCACAAAACACTATTACTATTTTGATATAATTTTTTATTATTATTTATTAATATTATTTAAAGGGATCATATGATGCTATTTTAAAGATCATTATTTTGTGTATTTGGTGTAACAGAATATGTTGACATGCTTTAATGTTAAAAAAACATTCTTTTTCAAATACTGTACATTATTGTAGGTCCTCTATGCCCCGCCTCTCTTAAACGCTTCGTTTTCTACAAAGTCC